ATACCTGAGGGCTCCCAGTATGTGAGCGGGGGCAGGCTGGGCTGAGGGACACTCCTCCCCACACAGACCCAGGGCACGAATTTCGTGCACCAGGCCCCTAGTCCTATATAATAAAAGGCCAGCAACCATAACAGCGTAATGACTGGAATGATAGATCGACCAGTTGCTATGAGGTGCATTGACCACCTCTCAGTCCCTCTCCCCAACCTGCAGGTTCCAATTGCTGGATGGCCAACAGGGAACCATGGAGAACTGGGGTGGGTGCGGCGGGATGGGACCGGGGACTGGCAAGTGGGTGGAAGATGGGTAGGGTGATTTCAGGCTAGGCCTAGGGACCCTAACAGCACATAATTTCATGCACAGGGCCTCTAGTCTTATATACTTCACTCTGCTCCTCCATGTTAATACCCACATCATTATATCGACAACTTCTTCTCACAAATACCATTTGAGGGCACACTACAAAGCTGGTCATAAATTATTCGCCCATGAATCCATACACAATTGTGGGATGAGTTTTCCTGTGTAACTGTGCTTCTGATTTCAAACCTATTAAAATAAAATGCAATGAGATAATTAGAACAAACATAAGAAATACAGACTACTAGTCACACAATGCTGAAATAAATTGGTGAGGATACTAGTAAAAGAGTTCTGAAGTGTCTACACTTATTGGAAAAAGAGACTTGAATTTAGATTGTATTAGTTCTCAAATGACAAAATATCCTTCATTATCTATCCTATCTAATAAAAGAGAAACATGGTAATTGGCGTACAACCACTACCCTTCCCATTGGCTAATCAGGGCGATATGCAAATTAACTGCCAGCCAAGATGGCGGCCGGCAGCCAGGCAGTTTAAACTGAACATGAGGCTTGCTTGCTTCAGTGACGGAGGACGGCAATGTTCCCCGCCTTCCCTGCCGGCCTCTGAGCTTGCAGCTCTAAGCAACTATGTAACAAATATAGAAGGTAAGCAAAACTCCAGCAACCTGCTTTAGTCGCCGGGCTTCAGCCAGCAGGATCGCAATATTGTTTCAAATACAGAAGGTAAACAAAGGCCAGAAACC